TAGTCCCTCTCTTGCCTCTGGGTGATAGAGACTTTGTTGGCTGCTAGCGCTGTATTTTGTAATTGTCAAAAGGGGGCAGGGGTACACAGAACATGCACTTTTACACGTGTGTGTGTGTATGACACAGAGGGTGCGTTCAGACGGGGCGTTTCAGCTGGCATAAACTGCACCGGTTCCAACCGGTGCAGTTTATGCCGGCTGAAACACGATCACGCTTACCTCCTGTCTGCAGAGCCCATTGCTGTATGCCTGTTCTCACACAGCGGGTGTCGGCGGTTGGTTTTTTTTAAACTCAGTTTGCACATGCGCATAAGCAGCAATCCACAGAATGGCGATCTTCGCGCATGTGCAAAACACCCCATCCAGAAAAGCATGCCCTGAAGAGAGGACTTACCTTTAAAGTTTAAAGAGCAAACTGGCCTCCCTGAGGTCCCGGACTCCTCTAAAACCTTAAACTAAGGACCTTTTCTTTTTTAAAAAAACAAACGTCAGGGCGAAGCTTCGCCCAAGCGCATATTGCCAATCTAACAAAAAAACAAATGGCGAGCAAAAATCGGAAGCCTCGGGCTTCCGAACGGAAGTGGCTCTACAATGGTGGAGAGCGATCAAATGGGGGGTAAAGCAGTTACAACCGTTGCACTCAGGAGGATACCACCACTTGGGGACTTAGTGGCAGAATACAACGGTTTAAAGCTCTTTGCAACGGTTAGGGACGGAAGGCAGATGTTCTACGTGTGAACACCGGTAAGTACACCGATTCCAACCGGCACCTATACCATTGTAAATGCCCCGTCTGAACACACCCAGAGAGCGAGAGAGAGACAAATTTCCACTAGTGGTGAGTTGTTAGAGTTGCCAACTCTCGGTTGGGAAATTCCTGGAGAATTGGGGGGGGTGGAGTCTGGGGAGGGCAGGGTTTGGGGAGGGGCCCCAGCAGGGTATACTTCCATAGAGTCCACCCTCCAAGGGAGCTGATCGCTGTAGTCCGGAGATACGTTGTAATGTCGGGAGATCGCCAGGCCCCACCTGGAGGCTGGCAACCTGATGAGTTGTCCTAGTTAAAAATAACTTCCTGTGGACTGCTCTGGATCAACAGTATGGAGTTGGTGGGCCTTGTACGTCCATTGAAGTCAGTGGGCTTCGACAAACACAGTTCTACTTACAATAGCACTGTAGCGGTGCAGTCCTGAGCAAGTCTACTCAGTGGACCTTGTTCTCAGGAAAATGTTGTTCTTAGGATCTCACCATCTTTTCCTCCCCTGGACCTTATTGGCAAAGGGTAGTTTTGCTGTTCACTCCCCTTTAAAGCTGGGTGTTGGTGGGCCTATGGGAAGAAGAGGTCAGGGATAATAAAGAGGGAGCACTCACTTTACATGGGGGTAACTGGCCCTGACCTGGCTAGCCCAGGCTAGCCCGATCTCATCAGATCCCAGAGCTAAGCCGCGTCAGCCCTGGCTAGTATTTGGATGGGAGACCACCAAGGAATATCAGCTTGCAGCAACACAGAGGCAGGCAATGGCAAACCACTTCTGTTTGTCTCTTGCTTTGAAAACCCTACAGGGTAGCCGTAAGTCAGCTGTCACTTGACGGCAAAACAAAAGACAGAGCCTTGCATTGCTTTTAGCCTGGTTCACAGTGGTTCCCACATAGACTTGCCAACCTCCAGCTGAGGCCTGGGGATCCCCCGGAATTACAGCTGACCTCCAGACTACAGGGATCAGTTCCCCTGGAGAAAATGGCTGCTTTGGAGGGTGGACTCTGTGGCATCGCATCCCGGCTGAGATCCCTCCCCAGACTCCGCCTCCCAAATCTTCCAGGCTCCACTTCCCAACCTGGATATGGCACCGCTGGATCCCTCCTGCAGTTCAGCTGGGCACGTATCTTGCATAGAAAGAAGCACGAGCCAAAGCGTTTTGCGTCATGTGCAGATTACCTTTAAAAGGAGCATTCTTCCTAATGCTTCAGGGCTTCTGGCACACTATAAAGAAAACATTTGGGTTTGTGGAAGCATGAGGTGGGCAAACAAAAGTTAGACGTTTCATGTTCCAAAATTAGATATGAGCAGTTCTTTATGAGTCTGGAATGAACCTGCATTCCTAATTTGCGGGAGATTGTACAGTAGATTTCAAAGATCGGCTGTGAACTAGGCAAGTCGTAATGCCAAGAAACAAGCTGGGAATGTCTTGTAATGAGAGAGAGAGAGAGTCCTAAACGGGGGACGGATGGACGGGGGGGGTTCTTTCATAATGTCAGTTTCTTTCATAAGCAAATGCAGACTTTTTGTGTGACTGTTGGGGGGACAAACTTTTCAAAATGCTCTGGTGCAGTGGCAAGGGAAGTGCTAAAATTTTATTTATAAAATGTCTTAGTCTAGCAGCCTGAATAGCTCAGATTAGTCTAAGCTAATTTCAGTTTGGACGGTAAGTGGGGTTGGCCATAGTTGATACTAGGATGGGAGACCACCAAAGAAGACCTGAGTCACTAGGCAGAGGCAGGCAATGGCAAACCACCTCTGAACATCTTTTGCCTTATGGGGGGGTCACCATAAGTCATTTATGACTTGAAAGCACATTATTATTAGTCGTCATGCATTCAAGGTAAAATACAACAAATATGGATCTTTACCACGTCCCCCTCCTTGCAGCAGTCTCTTCGGATCCTAGAAAAGTTGATTCCAGAGTTGATTCTGTGCGATCAGTGTGGATCCCCTGATACTGAGGATCAGTGTTTCCGGGGTCAGAAGGGATTACATGAAGGAAGCAGGTGTGGGAAACATTTGCCACGGCCAGCACCATCGACTGACAGATTGCAGGATCCAACCCATATGAATTCCAAACAGGGTGTAATCTGGCAAGCCTCCCTGAGGAGTTCGTTTGTTCCTGTTGTGCGCCTTTCCACTATTTAGGTCTTCCAAGGAGACTTGCAAGCATAATGTAAGACAATAAATCATTGTAAATAAACAGCCCATCAAAAAATTACAATAGCCTGAAACAGCCAGTTTGGTGTAGTGGTTAAGTGCACAGACTCTAATCTGGGAGAACCGGGTTTGAGTCCCCCCTCCTCCACTTGCACCTGCTGGATGACCTTGGGCAAGCCGTAGTTCTGGCACAGCTGTTCTTGAAAAAGAGCAGTTTCTGTCAGAGCTCTCTCAGCCCCACCTATCTCACAGGGGGTCTGTTGTGGGGAGGGGAAGGGAAAGGAGATTGTAAGCCGCTCTGAGACTCCTTTGGGTAGTGAAGGGCGGGGTATAAATCCAATCTCGTCTTCTCTTCTTAACATATTTTGGCCCCGGCCATATGTGCCAGAAAACGTTGGGGTGGGGGGGAGACGTAATGTCAGCTATGCTGCCATGATAGTTCAGGAGGCCATCAGCTTCCCTGTTCTGTGTACTAATTGCTGTTGCATTCCTTTTGTGCTTCGTCTCTGCTGTAACGCTGTTATCTCTAAGAGGTGCAGGTGGTGTAGTGTCTGGAGTGAAGAGAAGACCGTGGGAGCGCTATCGGTTCCCAGCTTCGTTTCTAACGGTCTGGGGCTCCTTCTCCCGCGCGCGGGAATATGGCTAATTGGCCTATGGAAGGGGGGGTGCATGCGAATGCCCTATATCTCATTGTGCTTGTAGGGGCAACGCCATTCTTAACAGTGCTTCTGTTAATGCATCTATAGCTCTTCAATAAAGTATAACCGTTCCGATAAGCGTGTACTTCGTTGTTGGCTGTGGAACCTGACATTTGCGCTGTCGCATTCTGATCCGCCATTATGCAATCAGATGCGACGGCAGTGCACTGGGGTTTTGTCCTTTGTCACGCACTGCAAAGAGGACGGCTGGTTGTGTTAATATTTACCTCAATTTATGTATTTTTTTTGGGAATAAAGTTCATTCTTATTCACTTTGAAAAAGCAAACCATTTTGTGCCTGTCCGTTTACCTCAGGTATCAGTCCAGGCTTGGGTGGGTTTATACTCAGGCCCCTCAAAATGGTCTTTTCAGTTTCCTGCTGGGAACCTTGGTGCATTAGGGTAGACAGGAAATAGCTTTACGAGGGGAAGAAATCCTGTGAGGGGTGCGTGGGTGGGGTTTTCATAAATCAGTAGCCTTGGGAAAGCAATGAAGTACTAGTAGCCCTGGGAAAAGAGCTAATTATTGCAGCCAGAATGGGTAGCTCAAGTATGGAAACGAAAAGATGGCAACAAAAAGTATCTTTGGTTAGTTAAGGCTTGGCCACGTGACGGTTATGAATAAATATGTGGTTTCATAAATTTTGGTCAAGTAAAAATTTTGCTAAGGTTTGGTTACCTTTTTATTAAATATAGGAATTATCAGTATCCTAACTCTAATGTGAAAGAGGAGATGTTACGGTGTATTTAGGATCGGTCAGTGAATTATACAACTAGAGTTAGATAAGACAGGATTAGATAAAACAGGATTTGATAGTCAACAGGTATAAATTGATGTTTCTCTTTTAAAAAATATTCTGGCTGTCTCGGTGAACTTTGAACATTTGATAATTACGGATGTCTTACCTCACTGAGATAATTAAATTAGAAACTATTTGCCAAGATTGATTATCAGAGAGAAGAAGTTAGTTTTTTGGGGGTAGAGGTTACATATGTAGGATAATAGGCCTTATATCAGTTATATTGACATAGATCTGGAAATCTAAAAGCTATAAAAATGACTCAATTTGTTGTTATTCTGCTTCCTTATCGTATAATATACACAAGTGTACATGATTTTTATTGAAAATTAAAAAGACCGCACACACAAAAATTAGACGATAGCTCAAATTTCTCTTGGCTGTTGATGTGCCACAAGGGGCTAGCACAAGGCCAGATTAGATATAACTCAAAAAGGAAAAAATCCCACCCACATAGTGGTCATAGATCTCCCACATCATGACTAGTTGCATCCATGGCAGAGCTGACGAAATCATAGTTTATTTTGGAAGTGCTCAGAGCTGCCTGATTGTTCTTAACAGATGGCTTTTCTGTTTTCTTTTAAAGGTACGGACGCTCTTTGTCAGTGGCCTGCCTTTGGACATCAAACCCCGGGAGCTCTATTTGTTGTTCAGACCGTTCAAGGTACACTCGCTTCTCTTTGTCTACTTGTGTGGAAATGCAGGCCATGAAAAGCCAGTGTGGTTATTTATATTGTGGTTTCTGTTGCTGTTGCAACTGGCGCTTTGCCATAGCTGTGTGTGATTGTTTCTACTGGGGGGGCAGACAGAAATTCAGAAGATGTTCCAGTATCTGGTTCTTTTTTTAAAAAAAATTATTATGATGCAGTCTTTCATAGTATCTTATTTCAGATCAAAGCTTGGCAAGGAGGACTTTCCCATGAACTGAAAGTTGGCCGGCTGCCTAAGTGGGGAGCAGTTATAAAAAGCCTAGTGGTGTGATCGGGAATGCAAGTTTATAAATACGAACCTCTAATGATGATGACGGCCTAGGGAGGGATTCATAATACTGTGGCGTGACATTTTCCCATGAAGTACCTTAGAAGAAATCCCGCTGCCGAGAATTCTATCCCGTGGGCAGTTTGGTTGCTCTGTGTTGGCATAACCGGCCCTTGTTGGAAGATCATTCTCTTGTCCCAGATTTCTCAATTAGATATAAACAATTCCCATCTTAAGATTTTTGTGGTCGTCAGGATAACTTGGGCTATGAATGTACCAAATATTAGCTTTCTCTGTGCTTCACTGGAAATATTTGTACTCACAGATAGTTTGCAGTGTGGGCTTTATTCTGTGAATGCGTATGCTAGAATAAAAAAACTTGTTAGACTCTGGTGACTGATCCCTACTGGGGGCCCGGAGGATATTCAGAGGGGTGGCTGAATAAAGCCTGCCCCCGCCTCCCGACTGCTGGTATTTCAAGGAGGTCTCCCTTCCAGGTACTTGCCGGAGTCGACCCTGCTTAGTTTCCGAGATCTGACAAGATTGGGCTTGCCTGGGCTATCCAGGTCAGGGCGGTGATTGGATTTTTGATTGGCTGTGCAGATTTTTAAATTGTTGCTTTGGCGGCAGCTGCCAGCACAGCACAAAGGACCTGCACTGTGTGATTGAAAGTAAGGTGCAGCAGCCATATTGTGGCTGGCTCTACCTGCTACAGTAGCCAGTTTGTGGCAACCATTTTGTGGCTGTCCCCAGCCTGCTGTTTCAGAATCCAAAAGTGCCAGCAGGCTGAAAAAGGTTGGGGACTCCTGCCTTTAAGGATCCACAGGACTTCTGATTGTTTTGGTAATAAAGGATGCCTTCAACTACATGTGCACCAAGTTTAAGTTGCCTACACGGCCTGAAAGTACCCTGACCATTTCGATGTCCCATGAATCTCAAAATGTTACTATTTTTACTTTCTGGGAGTCTCCATATGCGGTCCCTTAAAATGGCATAATGTAAGTAGTACTACCTTTTCTGTGCCTGTGATATAAAACCCCCCATCACTCTAGTCCTCATCTCATGCCTATTTGCATATCTAGCAAACAGTACAATTCACATTAAGGAAGGGAACAAAGCATTTTGCTGATTTTTAAAAACTGTACATCAGTAGTTCTTCCAGCAACACCTGAAGAATTACTTTTTGCCTGCATTAACTCTGACCTGCTTTGCAAAACCTCTGCTGTGTTTTACAAAGTCTTGCTAGATGCTGCTTTGCCAGTATAGTATAGATGGGTATAGAGGGGTATAAAATATTTCCCTCCCATAAAAATTAAAAAGGTCTCTTGACATCCATATTTAATGAGGAGAGGAGAGGTTCCATACCATCACCCCATGTTTGATACTATCCTGTCCTTTCGATGGGACCAGATTATTTAGTGTCTTTTAGAGTGGCAACAGCTGTTCAATATTGGCTTTTTTAATGTTAAAGAAATCAGCAGAAGTGTGTATTGTTTAAAGAACCTGTGTATACACACAGCACAGTTATGGTTGCAGATGTTCCCGGACCATATCACTTACAACTGCATAGTGAGTACATAAGGTGCCGTGAGTGAGTCTGTTTTGTCTGAATGGTGGGAGGGATTGGGCGGGGTAGAGTGGTCAAATGGAAGTAACAGTTGGAGATAACCAGTATAATGGACAGTCAGAATTGGGGGGGGGGGCAACACACACAAGGCAAGAGTATTCTTTACAGTCTCTTAAGGGGGAGAGGTATTCTCAGCATGTCTAGTGTGGAAGAGATTATTTGTATAGTCAGTTTCTGAAGGAGATGGTGAAGTCTAATTCATCTGGATAGTTTCAGGTTCGTCTGCAGTAGAACAGCAAAATTTTAGTCCAGGAGCACCTTAAAGACCAGCAAGATTTTCTGGGTAGAAGCTTTTGAGAGTCAAAAATCCGGTTTTTGATTAAGGGAGCTTTGACTCTCAAAAGAGTATGCCCTGGAAACCTTGCTGGTCTTTGAGGTGCTGCTGAACTCAAATCTTGTTCTTCTAATTCATCCAGAAATCCAGAGGGAAAAGCTGAAAATCATGGCAAAGAGCTGCTTGGATATTTATTTGTTAAGGTCTCCCTATGCTTTTGTTTATGTAAGGATCCACTTAAAAATAAAACTCTTGTGGGAGTGGGAAGAGATTTATTTATTTATATCCTTTTTTCAGGCTCCAAATTGGCCCTCCAAAAACTGACTATAAATAGGGTTGCCAAACCGGCCCCCCCAGTTTGGCAGGGGTCCCCCGCTTTTTGGGGGGTTCTACCCGCCGCCAGCCAGCTGGCCGACAAGGGCCCCTTTAAGTGCAGGGAGCCGGCGTTTCCCCTCGCGCCCATCGGGCGGGCAGACGTCTCCAATGTGACGTCATCATGTCGGGGATGCTCCACCCCCTCCGGGAACGCCCCCCAAAGTCCCCTGCTGGGGGCTAAAATGGACTTGGCAACCCTACTATAAATGACAATTCAATATGAATATTCCTGAGGGAATGGATTCTCGGCTGTCTGATTGCTGCTTCACATCTCTTGGCCCTGTTGATGGCAGTTGGAAGCTGGTGGGAAGGGAACTCTCAGCTGGAACTAGATCCAGGCTCCGTGGAGGGACTGAGCCTGCAGAAACTTTTGAAATGTTAAGGAAGTGTACAGAGGGTGCCATCACACAATGACTGCTGTTTGGGTATGGGTCCAATCACAAAATGGCTGCCATTGGTAGTGCTGAATCAGTTCTTTGCTAGTAGGTCAGCTTGTAGGAAACAACTGCGAGTTTTTTGGTGGGCCGGGGGTAGGGTAAAAGCCGGAACAAGCCTATACAATAGTACCACAAAAAACAGCGGGATGCATTACAGACACTCAAGAGCAATATTTTGGAGAGGAAACATGGAACACTCACAGTTTTGTTAACCCTTTCCAGGCCAAAATGCCTGTGGAACAGGCTGAAACAGGCCTTAAACAAACAATAATATTGTTAAAAGCAATGGAATGTGTTGCAGACACTCAAGAACAATATTTTGGAAATAAAAACATGGAACTCTCACAATTTTTATTAACCCTTTCCAGGCCAAAATATCTCCGGAACACCCTGGAACAGGCCGGAACAGCATTAAATAAACAATAGTTCTGCAAAAAACACACAGTGGGATACATTACAGACATTCCAGGACAGTATTTTAGAAATGAAAACGTGGGACTCTTTCATTTTTATTAATCCTTTCCAGGCCAAAATGCCGCCAAACACCCAGGAACGAGCGTTAAAACAAACAATAGTACCACAAAAAAACCAGTGGGATGTGTTACAGACACTCGAGAACAATATTTTAGAAATTAAAACCTGGAACTCTTGCACTTTTATTAACCCTTTCCAGACCACAGTGCCTTTGGAACACCCTGGAACAGGAGCCAAACAATTTTACTGCAAAAAAAACCAGTGGGATGTGTTACAGACACTCAAGAACAATACTTTAGAAATGAGAACAAAGAACTCTCATGCTTTTATGAACTTTTCCCCAGCCAAAATGTCTCCCAAATGCCCCAGAACAGTCTGGAATGGGCATTAAACAAACAATAGTACCACAAAGAACAGTGGGATGTGTTACAGATACTCTAGCACAATATTTTAATAATGAAAAAGGTGAACTGTCATGCCTTCATTTCTTGGAATAAGGTGACTCAGCATGCCTAGACATGGGGGTTTGCTGCATCGCTCAATGTGTATATATGTATATGTGTTATGGTTGCCAGGTCAACTTACCCAGCCAACGGGGGTCTCCCGAAATAGGCCCGAAACTGGAAGAAGGTTAATTGGGGTTGGGATTTCCCTCCCCCGGCGGCTGGCTGACTGGCGGCAGGCAAGAGCCTGTGAAAGTGGGGGTTTCCCCACTCCCACCACGGGGTGGCAACCAATGCTCCCTCTAAGCTATGGAGTCCTGTGAGCAAAAATTCTACTTTGTGAGCTACTGGCATTAAAGTTGTGAGTGAGAGATTTGGCTGCTGCATAAATTAGTTTGCTCTGGAGCCATCCTTCCTGAGCTAAGACAAAAATGTGTGAGCCAGAGGCTAAAAAACGGTGAGCCAGCTCACACTAACTCAGCTTAGAGGAAACACTGGTGGCAACCCTAATATGTGTTATCTTCTTAATTAATGTCTCTCTTTGTCTAACTTGGGAGTTTCTTTCTGACTCCTCATTCTCTTCCTGTACCCTTTGGGAGCTTCTTTCTGTTAGAATACCATTTCTGCCCTGCAGGTGTTTTGTTAGAAACTTTGCAGTTTCAGTTTGGTTTCCTATGTGGCATGAGGGCTAAAACTGTCTTGTATGCCATGCCGGGTTGCCATGTCATGCTGGAAAAGGGTTAATTAATAGGGTGGCCAAACATCAGGTGGTTGCTGGAGATATCCAAGAATTACTTTTTATCTCCAGATCACAGAGATTAGTTCCCCTGAAGAAAATGGCAGCTTTGGGGGATGGATTCTGTGGTACTATTCCTTTCTAATGTCCCTCTCCTCCAAAAACTCCCATGTTCCACAGACTCCATCCCCGTTATCACCGGGAATTTTCCAACCCAGAGCTGGCAACCCTATGAATAAAAGAGTGAAATTCCAGTATTTTCATTTCTAAAATGTTGTTCTCAAGTGTCTCTAGTGTCGTTAACACATACCACTGTTTTCTTCAGCATTATTTGTTTAACGACAGTTCTGGCCCGGTCCATGCTGAAGGCATTTGGTTGAGAAAGGGTGAATAAAAGTGTGTCATTTCAGTGTTTTCATTTCTACAATATTGTTTTCAAGTGTCTGTAATGCATCCCACTGTTTTTTGTGGTACTGTTGTTTGTTTAAGGTCCATTCTGAGGTGTTCCGCAGGCATTTTGGCCTGGAAAGGTTTAATAAATATGTGATATTTCTGTGTTTTGATTTCCAAAATATTGTTCTTAAGTTCCTTTAACACATCCCGCTGTTTTTTGCGGCACAATTATTTGTTTAATGCCCATTCCAGGCTGTTCCGACTTTTACCTTGTCCCTCAGTAGGTACTATGTGGAGGATTTTTGGTCTTGTGAAGTAGATAGTCAGTTCTGAAGACTCAGGTCATGTTTTTCACAGGATATTGAAGCCAACTGAATGTGTTACATGTATTGAACTTTAATTAGCATTTGTATTCGATTTTGATTTCTGTGAGAGCCGTGTTTTGGCTAAAAAGCAGGATTAAGAAATAAATAAAATAAAAAGCATGCAGTTTCTTCCTCTGCAGAAGAAAAAAAAATACCATGTGGTTCTGCTTCTTGGGTAGATTGGTATGAATGATTGATTGTGATTTGGAACCAAAGTGCTACAGTATGGAATCCCGTGAAGTTTAATCCTTCCCAGATTGAAAGAGCTTCATTATTTTTGTTTAACGCTTCTCTTAAACCAAAACAACCTATAACATGCATTTCTAGCAATAATGAATTTAAACCATGCTCGTTTAACTTCAGTAGAGTTAACCCTTCTTGTATCTTAAGGCTTTGGATAAAAGGAGAGAATAGTGTCTTAATACGCCAAATTTAATTTCCTTTTTCTAAGGTTGTCTTTTAGCCAGGTGATAAGTCACTCATAACTGCAGTCCTAAACTATGATGGCCTTAGAAGGGTATAACTCTACTCAGGAGTACGTAGTCGTGGAAAAATGTATTTATATATTCATATTTATTTATCTAGGAACTTGCTTAACTATTTTCTTGCCCAGAATGTAATTTTTATTTCTTCTTGCAGGGATATGAAGGCTCTCTTATTAAACTCACATCTAAGCAGGTAAGTATAATCCACGTTTGAAAGATTTAACAAACCACATCACCAATTTATATTTAATATATGAGAGATCCTTAAGCATGCAGCCAGTATGAGAATTCGGCAGTGTCTCAGCACCAGAAGACTCTTCGTGGCATTCAGCCTATCCCAGTATTGTTGGCCGGTATATGTTATTTTGGTTTATCTGGAGGCTGGCTTTTCTTATCATTTATCCCAGAGTCTTCTGGAATCTGAATTGACATGTAACCTTGGAGGGGGGGGGGCTCCAAAAAAATTCAGATATCACAGATACCAGACTTGTTTACTTTTCAGTACAGAGGGTATCATGCCTCATATCACAGTTTTAAGTCCAATTTTTTTGCTTATATTATGTGATCCAGTAATAGCACCCTTAATACCTCTGGAATTAATATTAGCCCTTTTTGGTTATTAGAAGTCCTGTGTTGGTTTATTTCTACTAAACAAAAGAGAAAGGGCAGCGAAGTCAAATTGACTTTCAGCATATAAGGGAAAATGCTGTGTTCAGCCCCTTCTCCCTGATGTTGGGAGAAGACCAGGTTTGGCCAGCATGTCCTTTGAGTCTGGCCCCAGCTTCCAGCCTTTCCGTCCTTCCCTCTTTTCTAGCTTGGGAAAGTTGGAGAAACTGTTCAGGAGGAGAATGTAGGGACCATGTAGACCATGGGGATTTCTAAGCTGAAGATAAGAAGGATTATTTAATAGTGTTAGTTAGAGGAGTAGGTGAGTATGTGCTTGCCGTAGGATTATTGCTTGAAGACTATGGAAAGAGCTATGGAAAGAACCTCCATGTACTGCTAGACTGTCTTATGAATCTAGCACAAATGCAGCATCCAGCTCATTAGGATAAGGAGATAAAATCATCGTGGTCTAGGAGAACTTCAAGCAACTCTTTGTAATGTATCTAACAATCAAGTAGGCGTTCTCACTTGAAGGAGGACCTGGAGGCAAGGCATAGTGGATCTTACTTCCCTTTCAGGAAGGTGATGCATGCAAATGCAAGACCTGCATCTCAGTTCCTCTTCTAGTTAGACACGGCATGAATTGGTGGACAGCCAGTGTCTCTCAGTCCAAGGGGAAAGCTTTCCAGATTCAGTCTGTCTTGCAAGTAATGATGGATGCCAGTTTTTGGGCTGAGGGGCACAATGTCAAGAATCTGTGCAGGGACAGAAGTGCAGGAAGGAGACAATACACAGCATAAATTAGTTGGAATTGAGCATAGTCTGTCTGGCGTTGCCTGTTTTTCTTCATGAGGCATGGAGGTCAAGTAACACAAAAATTCCTGCTAGCTTCCTACAAATCTTCTGCCACTTCCATCTGTGATTGTAATTGGACAGTACTCATCTGATGGAGCAAGAGGAAGTTCTCATATGCATTGAATGGTTCTCTCCTTCAAGTTACGTCTTTTCTGCAGATTGGTGTCATTCAGGAGCTTCACCCAAGTGCTCTAAAGCAGGGATACCTAACATGGTGTCCATGGTGCCTGCCGACACCTTTCATGGTGTCCGCCAAGTATTTTTAGGAAAGTGCCAGGTGGGGCTCTTGCCCAGCAAGGCTTCTGATTGGCCGTTGGAGATTTGATTGGCTATGCAGATTTCTAAAAGTGTTGCTTAGGCAGCAGCCGCTACAACAGCACAAGGATCTTCACTGTCTGACTGAAGGTAAGCTGTGGCAGCCATTTTGTGGCTGGCTGCACCTCATGCAGCCGCCATTTTATGGCAGCCAATTTTGTGGCTGTGCCCACTACGCTCTGTCAGAATTGGTGCCCTCAGGCTCAAAAAGGTTGAGGATCTCTGCTCTAAAGAGCCAAGTGGCCCCTCAGTCAGCCATCTTAAAATGCATCTAGGAAGTACTAATTTCCAGACAGCCACATGTCAAAAGCTTCTGTGGGGTGTGTGGCACCCTCTGTTGATTCACAGTTTTTCCAGTTGGGATCTTCCCTTGGTTTTGCAAACTCTTACATCACCACCCTTTGAACCACTTGAGAAGTTTCTTCGAAATCCTTATCGCTCAGGGTGCAATTTGTAGTGGTAGCTAACCTAGACTTGTCAGGTTTCCAAGCTAGGGCCTTTGTTTGTCCAAGGTTCTGTGCCTTTTATATGTACAGAATGAAAAGAGGTCTAACGGCATCTACATTTATTCCAGCACAAGTTTTTGTGAGGCCGAGCTCATTTCATCAGACACGTCAAGTGGATATCCTAGTCAGTACCGCTCTGTTGTCCTAAGCGGAGTTTCACCCTTATGAACTTAAGAGTGTAACTCTGCTTAGGATTACACTGTAAGTCTACCTTGAGTGGAGGGACCAATTCAAGTATAATATCAGGGCTTTTTCTTTCTGGAAAAAGAGATGCTGGAACTCTCATGAGGGAAATGAAGGAGAAACACACGTGGTTCTTTGAAACCTTCATTTAAGTCGTATTTTTAAAATTTCAATATTTTTGTGATGTCACAAGTGATGTCATTCTCCCTTGGTGCCCCTCATGAACTTTTAAACGCTTTTTGAGAATTTTTTCCCCACGAAGAGGTTCCAGAACTCTGTTCCAGTGTGTTCCTCCAGAAAAAAAGCCGTGATAATACTGGTTCACAACAGCCAAGGATAACCAGGAATAATGGCCCTTTCAAATGGCTCAGCGCCATTTGACGCGAATACGTCAATTGAAGACTACCACCTGGGCTTCAGCCTCAACATTTATCTAGGATTACAGAATAGATCCCCTTGAGTGATCCAGCTCCTGCAATAGGTTGTATGATCCTGTCCACATCCAACAATCCCACCTTTGATGGAACTTCTTTTTATCATCCCTTCAGTTAAGATGCTCTCCTCCTCCTAGTGAGAATGAAACATTTGTCATCCCGTTAGCGTTCCTGTTCCTCAGCCGTAAGAACGGTATTCTTCACACAAAATTCTGGGAGGGCTACCTTGGTAAGGTCAGGATTGCATGGATCATTTCGGTTTCTTGAGGACACTTCACTAGGAATTTCTGAGGCTGTGCTTGTTAGATATCTCTTCAATCTTTATACGAACCATTTTGCCTCTCATGAGGGTTGTTGTCTATCTGTCCCGCAAACGTTTTACTTCAAGCTCTTATCGGCTGCAAAACTCAAACTCAGCAGGGATTCCCTTCCATTGAACGAAACAAGGAATTGGAACTAAGTCATGCTTCCAGATCCAGTGGGAGAAATCACCCATCAATCAGTGTCTCCTCTTTACCTTCAAGAATAATAAACGCTTCAAGAAATCCATTGTTCTATTTGTTCTCTTCTGTGGCTGACATACAGTCATGTATACTCTGCCACTATCCAACCCAGCCAGGGCTATAAGAGGTCACTAACAGTGCAGTCTCAAGTGTCACTGCACTTGGGATTGCACTGTAAATATCTTACGATTCTTACTGCAAGTGGTGAGTATTGCCTATGGTAGCAGGTCACTCGAAGAAGAAGAAGAGATTGGATTTATACCCCACCCTTCACTACCCAAAGGAGTCTCAGAGTGGTTTACAGTCGTCTTCCCTTCCTCTCCTCACAACAGACATCTTGAGAGGTAGGTGAGGCCGAGAGAGCTCTCTCGGGAACTGCCCTTGAGAGAACAGCTCTGAAAGAACTTGTGATTGACCCAAGGTCACACCAGCAGCTGCTTGTGGAGGAGTGGGGGATCAAACCTGGTTCTCCCAGATTTGGAGTTTTTGGAATTTAGGAAATTAGCAAAGCACGAGAAACTGCCACATCATGATGCTACAGCGTCATGATATGCTGTGGGTTGATCAAACCCCAGTTAGCTGTGACATCTGGATGTAGAAAGTCCACTTAACTGGGGTTTGTTGGTTAGCACCCAATCAGTATTTCAAACTAGAGCTTGTGAGCTCTATCAAAAGGAGGGGGAGAGGGACACGTTTTGGAGAGCCCTGGTTGTCCTGTGGGACATTGAGCAACCCAAGTCATGTGATTCACTTTTTCGTAATGTTTGGGCTAGATTTTGGTGGTGTTGGGGAGATCCTGATATCTTTGTTTGGTGGCCTTTGGCGGTTCTTGGCAAACCTAGGTTTTGTTATCTTGTTTCTTAACCTGAGTTTGTACTAATCATGTTTTTTTGTGATATCTGAAGCATCGTCCCTTGTGGCTGTGTGGCCACATAGACTGTGGGATATGCCTTACCTCCTTGGAAATGAGAAAGAGGGAGGAAGCAAGGGCTCTGGGATTTATATATAAATCAAACCAGGATTTGTTACTTAAGTTGGTAAATCATCATTTCTTGGGTTGTCCGAATGTCTCCAAGAACTGACTTCAAATGTGTTTAATTCACACTAAACAAAGCATTTGCTGATCCTATCATCATGTTGCAGCATAATCATCCAACCAAATAACTTGTGGTTTGCCTCTTAAACAATTCACCCTGATGGTGAATGAAAAATAAGTTAATATACCATTGAATAAACAAAAACCTGCTGCTTATTGTTAGACAGAAAAGCCGACTTCAGTGTTTTCGTTTAATTACCTATTGCTGCAAACAGAATTGCCTTGGACAACGGATGCCTTGACGGTGCCAGACCCACTCAATATAATTAGCCCTCCACAGTTCAGTTGGTTCAGCTGTTTGATCAGTGGATCAAAGTTGCAGCTGTAACGATATAGTGCTCGGATCCTCTTGAGTGCACGTCTCTCAATTATATCGCAGTCCTCAAGAAATCTCCAGACTTCCTTTTCTCTCTCTCTCTCTTCTGTTCCAGCCCGTGGGCTTCGTTAGTTTTGACAGTCGCTCAGAAGCGGAAGCTGCAAAGAACGCTTTGAATGTAAGTAGACCTGAGAAGATACTGGATGGGTGTGGAGTGGAGCTATTTGAACAGTTGGACCAATGTAACACAGTTCTTGCTTTACTTGGGCTGCTGGAGACTGCTGGCTTGAAACTGCATCTTTGAATTACTCCCCCAAGGGGGGGAAAAATCTCTCTACACATAGATAGCAGGAGCAGAAACTGAAGGGGGGCTTGGTGGACTTTTGTTCCCAGAGACTCCCGTTGTGTTTATGGAATAAGGCAGGTGGACTGTAATATAATGCTGTTATAACCTTTAAAGCCCTTCATGACCTGGGACCCAGATAGCTGAAGGACTGTCTCCTTCCATATGCCCCTGTGCACCAAATCTTGGGGATTTATATACAGGATAATAGAGCACCTTAAATACTGTTATGAATTTTATTGTGGATGTGTAATATTGTTTTATTGTATTTTATCTATTTAATCCGGCATTAGCCGTTTGTTAGCTGCTCTGAGCCGCTTGGAAAGGCGGGATATAAATCTCTAAATAAATAAATAAATGTGGTCTTCAGGTAGCCGGGCTGGCTGTGCGTGTGGGGAGCCCATGGGCTCTGCACAGCTCTGCACTGCCTCCTTAAACCAGGCGGCAGGAGAAGTCAGGGGTGCATGCGGGGAGCTCTGGTTTGCTTTTCTTGACTATGTTTTCTATGGTTGTTTCTACATGGAGCTTGGTATAATACATATCTTGTTGTGGAAGAAGGGGTAAACACAAAGGTTGTAAAGTCTTTTTTTTTTTTACAAGTGGCATGAGACTAGCAATGGTCTAATATCGCTAGACTCGTGCCACTTGAAAAAAAAATAAAATTCAGGTGGGGGAGTGGTCTACAAGGGGCGGGGACAGGGTGGGGAGAAATCCAAGGGAATCTGTATGCTTTTGACTTACCTTCGGCTTGGAAGCGATGCAAGGGAAATACCAGCACAAAAGCACTCTCAGAAAACCCGGGGAAACAGTGAACGGGAAGTGAACTCAGCGCTGAAGGAAGGAAAAACAATGCAGAACGAAAAAGAAAACCCGATGGACTTGTACAGTGAAAGTGAGGCAAAACACCTGTGCATAAAAGACCTATCTCACCACTTGGGGTGGCCCATCTGGCATCAACCAGAGCTCAACTTTTTCCATCATGGCTTCCGCTATATGGATTGGGGCTCCCTGAAGAGGTGATGTTTGGGTTACCAGCTGCCTGAAGGAAAAAATGTCCTGTTCCTTTAATAGCAACGGATGTTTGTTGCCAGGTTATATTATTTACCTCCGTGCCGTGAGAAGCTTCAGCTACCCATTTCTGCACATTGAGGCGGTCTTAAAGGGACAGGACATTTTTCTGCAGGTCTTTGGCAACCCTAGGTGAGGGGAGCCCCCTTCTTGGAGAACTTCAGGACATGCTGAAACTTTTGCTTGTTTGCCAAGGCTTTTGAGGGGGTATGAACAGCAGGCATCTTTTAAGGGGGCGGGGAGGATTTGGGGGTTATTATTTTATTCTGGTTTAAACTGGAATTATTGTAAGCCTCTTTCAACCATGAGGGAAGGCAGGGGATGAATATTTTTTTTTAATACATATTATATAGTTGTGATGAGACACAGTTTCTCCTCTGGCACTGGTTAGGTCAGCAGTGGCAGTGGGAAATTTAGGCCCCCATCACAGTGATAGTTCTGAGTTTGTGCCTTCACTGTCAACAAAGTGACAGAATGGCTGACATTCAGTCCAAGGGAGGCAAAATAGTGACATACTACTTTACACAGTGATTAACATGTGGAATTTGCTGCCGGAGAACGTAGTGATGGCCACAGGAATAAACAGCTTTAAAAGGGATTAGGTAGATTCATGGAGGATAAGTCTGTCAGCGGCTACTAGCTGTTGTGACTGAGGGGAACCTCCATGTTCAGAGGCACTAAACCTCTGAATCCCAGAGCAAGGAGGCAACCTCAAGGGAAGGCCTCGGCCTCTATGCCCTGTTGCTGGCCATCCAGAGGAACTGGTTGGCCACTGTGTGAGACAGGATGTTGGACTAGATGGACCATTGGTCTGATCCAGCAGGGCTGTTCTTCTTAAAATAAAACACAGTCGTAGAGGCAAAACCTGCTCATTTCCCCTTGCCCTTCTCCTTCCCCAATGAGAGGGGTGTTGTAAGTGGATACTCGCCTTTCTCCCCAATGGCAAACCCAATCTATATAGCATGCCCACCTTCTGTCTTGTGCCAGAAATCATGCAAGCCATTTGACTAGAGTTTTGGCAGGAACTTCCCTTCTCTGATTCAGGAGCAGGAGTGCTTCTCTACCCACCCTTTTCAATTTTGTTCTTGCTCTTTGTTTAGTATCCCCCCCCTCCCCCGGGCCTGTGTTCCTTCAAGGTGGCATTAGTGGAGCAGATGTTGCCGTTTTGTGTTCTGCCAGTTTGATCCTCGGATATTATAGGGTGCACATAAAGTTCAGCCAAGTTTAGAGTATGTTTTCTAAACACCAGCAATAAGACAGTTCTTTGAAGCGTTCTCTGTAAGAACCTATGAGAAATTGTTGTGAAATGGACTTCTCTAATTGAGAGAATGAAACTGCTCTAACCATAGGGCTGAATATTCTTTTTTCTCTTGTAGGGTTGAGCAGAAGTTTTGTTCCCGAATTTTAGACAGAGAAAAAAAATCTAGCAAAACGGACTTTCCCTGTGTGCTCTATGTTGGTTTGTCCCTGTGTGGACAAGATGGAGCAGGTGCAGAGGAGAGTGACGAGGATGATCGGGGGACCTGGAGACCAAGCCCCGTGAGGAAAGGCTTGAGGGACTTGGGAATGTTCAGTCTGGAGAAGAGGAGGTTGAGGGGTGACATGATTGCTTTCTTGAAGTATTTGAAGGGCAGTGGAATCAGCTGTCTAGGGAGGTGGTGAGCTCCCCCTCACTGGCAGTCTTTAAGCAGCAGCTGGACAAACACTGGTCAAGGATGCTCTAGGCTGGTCCTGCATTGAGCAGGGGGTTGGACTAGATGGCCTATGTGGCCCCTTCCACCTCAGTGATTCTATGACTCTATGCTATGCAGAGACCTGACCTGCAGACAGGGCTATTTTTGGGCAGGAACGCACAGGAACGGAGTTCCGGCTGGCTCCTGAGTTGGCCACGCCCAACAGGAACTCATTAGCATAATAGGGCACACCCAACAGCAGAAATGCATTCGGATTGGCTACATTCGGGGTTTGTGGTCTAACATGCAAAGGGTTCCTGCAACAAAAAAAGCCCTGGGTTTTGACAACAAACAAGGTAAACAGAATAAGAAGCAAAGGGTGGGTGTGGCTGGATGACCACACTTCTGGTGGCATGGGGGTGTGGCCTAATATGCTAATGTGCTGTGAGGGTGTGGCCTACTATGCTAATGAGTTTCGGCTGTTGGGTGTGGCCTGTTATGCTAATGAGTTCCTGCTGGGCTTTTTCTGCAAAAAAAGCCCTGCCTGCAGACATTAGCATGCTAAGCACGAGAAAGAAGAATGCATTGCCAAACTTAACAAAAAAAATTTAAGATTTTGTGCATCCCGAGGGAATCCCCACAAATTTCAGACCTTCATTGCCGCTAATGGAAAGCCTTTCAGATGAGCCATGAGGAAACACGGCTGCTTTGCTCTGAGTTTCTAGTCGGCAGCTTTTGTTGTGCCCCCAACCATGCTATGAGGCTGCCAATTCCAGCCTGGTTTTTTTGTCCCATTGAACTTAATGAGAAAATCTCAGAATCACACTCTCAACTGTATAACCCTGCCTTGGTTTCAGTGCCTTAGTCATCGGAAGATACGGAGCCCAGCTAGGTTCATTCGGTTTCCAATAGCGGCCAGACAGATGCTTTTGAGAAACCATGCTCGAGCTGTGGTTTTAACTTTGTCACTCCTCAGGAGCTTATGAGGTTCCTCAGTGAGAGAAGATCAGTAATAGTGGACAAGTTTAACTGCTCTAGGTCAGTTTTACAGGGTAGATGAGGTGATAAGTTTACTAGGTTGGTAAACAAGAAGCTTACTAGTTTTGACTGGAAGTCACTACTCTATGTTGATTTGTCCTTTCCTCGCTTTTTTATTTCCTAATGCATAAATATGGAGGAATCTTTACATTGGCATGCTGTAAATGCCCTTCTGACAGCAAAAATGGTAGCACGAGACTTAAAAATACCAGTTATTGTTTATGTAAATGTGATACAAATCAGGTAGGGTCATTATTTCTCATAATGTTATACTGCCCTCTGTACAGTAAATTGAGAGAGAAAGCTATCAACCCTTGGATAAAGAATTTAGATTAGACATCTGAGATCCAAAGGATACGTTTTATTTTAAATAACGCATTACAAAACTTTAGCCATTGACATAGCAGAGTTTCTTTCAGCAGCCTTTTTTTTTACAAGGTAGAAAAATTTCTCCTAAAGACAGGGGGTGGCCTTTTGGCTAATAAGCATTAGGAAGAGGTGGACAGGTTTTCCTGAAAGAATAACTTCCCCTATGTCCGCTATTATTCCTCTGCAGTGCAGTGTTACAGGAAACTGTTGTGCATGTTCTAGGTTGCATGCTCAGTTTGTGTAGGACAATGGCAAAGCCTGAGGGGTCTGGCAATGAACGGAGAATACACTCTAGAACGTATCTTAGAATCCTTCACAACACACAGGGCTCCTCAGGAGATACAGAGATGCCCCTGGCAGGTACATTTATGTAGGAAAGTTTCTGTACTTCAAAACTGTTTCTGTATTTCAAAACTGTTTCTGTATTGGTCTGCAGTACAAAAGTTAGATTCGAGTTGGGTAGCACTGTAGAGACCAACAGGATTTTTGGGGTATTAAGTTCCCTGACCTGGATAGCCCAGGCAAGCCTGATCTCGTCAGATCTTGGAAGCTAAGCAGGGTCGGCCTTGGCAAATATTTGGATGGGAGACCTCCAGAGAATACCGGGGCCAGGAGGCCGAGGCTGGCTATCAAGCTACTTCTCTGAACGTCCGCCAGAGGTCTTCGTGACTTCGAGGCACATGCACG